CTTATTTCTTTTTTATATATTTTTAGTTGGTAATCTGTTATGGTTTAGTTTCCGCTTTTGGTTGTGAAAGGGTTTAAACATCTGCAAATTAACAGAGTATGAATCCTAGCAAGATGAGGCTCTGTGGGTAAATATTCCCAGGCCTAGGAAGCCAGTACATTGCCTGTCCTGGGTGGCTTTGCACTTGAAGATGTGTAGTTTGGGGCTGCTCCTGGATCCAACTCTGACATTGGAAGTGCATGTGGCTACATTTTACCTGCTTCAGTTGGTATCATAGCTTGAGCATAGTTTTCCATACACTGATCACCTCAAGGTTGGATTACTGTATTGTGCTCTATGTGGGGCTACCCTCGAGGTTGCTTTGGTGACTGATGATGGTGCAAAACATTGCAGCTAGTTTGCTTGTGGAGACAAACTATACAGCCAGCATATTGCACCCTGCTTGCAGAATTTGAATTGACTGCCAGGTTTCAGGTGTTGGTAATCATACAAAGGTTGAGGAAGCGGGTGGTGCTGTGGTCTAAACCACTGAGCCTCTTGGGCTTGCTGATCGGAAGGTTGGTGGTTCGAATCTGCATGACGGGGTGAGCTCCCATAGTTCTATCCTAGCTCCTGCTAACCTAGCAGTTCGAAAGCATACCAGTGCAAGTAGATAAACAGGTACCGCTGAGGCAGGAAGGTAAACGGCATTTCCGTGTGCTCTGGCTTCTGTCGCAGTGTCCCATTGCACTAATAGTGGTTTAGTCATGCTGGCCACATTAACTGGAAAGCTGTCTGTGGACAAACGCTGGCTCCCTCAGCCCAAAGCGAGATAAGCGCCGCACCCCCAGTCGCCTTTGACTGGACTTAACCATCCTGGGGTACTTTACCTGTACTTTTACCTTTTACTAATACAAGGAGCCTATGCAGCTCAGGATCAGGTTAGCTGAGAGACCTACATGCATTAGGTCACTGTGTTCTATGGGACAGCTTCTCTTCAAGTCCCAAAGATCTCCCAAGTTTGCCCCGTAGTAACCCAGAGCTTAGGGACGTGGGTGGAGCTGTGGGTTAAACCACAGAGCCTAGGACTTGCCAATCAGAAGGTCGGTGGTTCGAATCCTCGCGACAGGGTGAGCTCCCGTTGCTCGGTCCCTGCTCCTGCCAACCTAGCAGTTCGAAAGCACGTCAAAGTGCAAGTAGATAAATAGGTACTGCTCCGGCAGGAAGATAAACGGCATTTCTGTGTGCTGCTCTGGTTCGCCAGAAGCGGCTTAGTCATGCTGGCCACATGACCTGGAAGCTGTATGCTGGCTCCCTTGGCCAACAAAGTGAGATGAGCGCCGCAACCCCTGAGTCAGTCACGACTGGACCTAATGGTCAGGGGTCCCTTTACCTTTAACTTTAACCCAGAGCTTGGCTTTTGATGTGACCACCTTTGCTCTGTGGAGAAGAATTCCTGTCCAGATACAATGGGTGTCTTGGCCCCCACTGTTCAGCTTGGACACTGAGGTCCACCTCCATGGGCCTTCAGGCAGTTCCCTCACTGCGAGGAGTGAAGTTGTAGAGAAACAGGCTGAGTGTTTCTTAGCAGTGGCGCCCTCCCATCAGATGTCAAGGAGATAAAGAGCTACACAACTTTTAGAAGACATCTGAAGGCAGCCCTGTTTCGGGATGTTTTTAATGTTTGACGTTTTATTATGTTTTTATATGTGCTTGAAGCTGCCCAGAGTGGCTGGGGCAAGCCAGCCAGATGGGTGGGGTGTAAATAATAAAACTATTATTCGTATTATGAGCATTTCCAGTGTTTCCAGAAAAAATGGTATGTTTTACCTCCACTGTAGGAGGCAGTATGCCTCTGACTGACAGCTGGTGGGGATCACAAGCACAGAGAGTGCAGTGCTTCTGAATACCAGTTGCTAGAAACAGCAGGAGGGGGAGTTTCTGTTGCCCCAGGTTCCTGTTTGCAGGCATTCCCTCCAGCATTTCTCAGATGAAAATTGGGACGTCTTATTCCATCATAGTAATTTTACTGATTGGATTGCCCCAGCCACTGTCGGCACCTCCCAACATATATAAAAACATAATAAAACATTAAGCATTAAAAAAAAACCCTTCCCTTTACAAGGTTGCCTTCAAATGGCTCGGATAACTCCAACATTTCTCCAATGGAAATTGAATTGAAATACTTTATTGTCACTTGTACAACTTGTATACAGTGAGATTACACAAGTACCCCCCACTCAGCTCTCTTAGTCTCAATTCCCCTCGTTTACTGACGCACACCCACCAAACCCGAAAGTCAGTTGCCCTGTTGTTATCTTTTCATTCAGCAGCCTAACAGCCCACAGATAGAAGCTGTTCTTTACCCTGTTGGTGTGACTAATCATGCTTCTATGAGGGCAGAAGATCAAGAAAGTGCCGGCCAGGGTGTGAATCATCCCTGAGAATTTTCCTCACTCTCCTGGGGCAACGTTCTTCTGCTATTTCATCCAACGGATTCATGGGACAGCCGATAATATCCTGTGCTGTATTCACCACCCTCTGTAGGCGCTTCCTATCAGTTGGTGTCAAACCAGCTTACCACACCGTGATGCAGTATGAAAGGACACTTTCTATTGTTGACCGGTAGAAGGAGATAATCAAATGTTGATTGACATCATTCTTCCGCAATACTCTGAGGAGATGGAGTCTCTGTTGGGCTTTCTTAACCACCTGGGTTGCATTTATTTTCCAAGTAAGGTCTTCACTGAGATAAACTCCTAGGAATTTAAAGGAAGAGACTCTCTCCACACAGCCCTCCCCGATGTACAGTGGGGCTAGTTCTCCTCTTTTCCTCCGAAAGTCAACACCATCTCCTTTGTCTTGCTGATAAGGTGCAAGTTGTTCCCTAGGCACCATGTAGATATTTTTTGGACCTCCCCTCTATATGCTGATTCATCTCCACCTGTTATTAAACCCATTATGGTGGTGTCATCTGCAAACTTAATAATTGCAGTAGACGGGTCAGATGATACACAATCGTATGCATACAATGAATACAAGTAAGGACTTAGCACACATCCCTGTGGTGTGCCAGTGCTGATTTTTAAGGAATTAGATGTTACATGTCCAATCCTCACTGTTTGTGTCCGATCTATCAGAAAGTCTTTAATACAGTCACAGATGGATAGGAACATCCTAAGGAAAAGTGGGACATTCTGGGATCAAATCAGAAACTGGGCCGGCTTCTGTAAATCTGGGACTGTCCCTGGAAAATAGGGACACTTGGAGGGTCTGTGCAGGCTTCTCATAGGCCTCTGGTGGGCCACTGGCCTCATCCAGCAGGTTTATCTTATGCTCCTATTAGGATGAGAGGAGGCACTACTTGAAGTGTGAATGGGTAAAATAAAGGTATCGATGTAAAATTATGGCAGCCACCTTCCTGGTGTGCACTGTCATCATCCCCCTTTTAATTACCATTGCTGCTGCTTTTAATAGTTGAACACTGCAAAAACAACGACGAGAGAAGAGAGAGTAGATTCCCCCCTACCCTCAAGTTGTCCTCTTCTACACTAGATCCGCTCCTGCTGAGATTTCTGTTAATTAGATAGTATATTACCTCCAGCATTGTTTTCGTTAATGTTAATGATGCTGTAGATACAGGCTGGGTGCAACTAAATTAGGAACATGCTGAGAGTTGAATAATAAGAGTTGGTTTTCCACGCATCACCATCCCAACATGTGTATTTCTAGCAAAACGAATGCTCTCACTGTGCTCAGACATAATGTTGTACATTTTTTACCCTCTCTATGATGAGATGATCTGCGTCAAGTGGCTCTTACTGTTTATGGCAGCCACAAATCCTTTTTAAAAAAAAAATCTACCAACATGCTGCCTAGGACTTTTCCACTATTGCTCCCAGTATAAGGATATAGAAACTTAGCCCAAGAACTTCCCCTGTACAGTGGAACCTTGGTTCTCAAATGGTTTTGTTGATGAACAAATTGGCTCCCGAACGTCGAAAACCCGGAAGTAAGTGTTCCGGTTTTCGAACGTTTTTTGGAAGCCAAACGTCTAGCGCAGTTTCTGCTTGAGTACAGGAAGCTCCTGCAGCCAGTCAGAAGCTGCGCCTTGGTTTTTGAACGGACTTCCGTAATGTATTAAGCTTGAGAACCAAGGTTCCACTGTTGTTGTTGTTTAGTTGTTTAGTCGTGTCCGACTCTTCGTGACCCCATGGACCAGAGCACGCCAGGCACTCCTGTCTTCCACTGCCTCCTGCAGTTTGGTCAAACTCATGCTGGTAGCTTCGAGAACACCGTCCAATCATTTCGTCCCCTGTCATCCCCTTTTCCTTTCCCAGCATCAGGGTCTTCTCCAGGGAGTCTTCTCTTCTCATGAGGTGGCCAAAGTATTGGAGCCTCAGCTTCAGGATCTGTCCTTCCAGTGAGCACTCAGGGCTGATTTCCTTCAGAATGGATAGGTTTGATCTTCTTGCAGTCCATGGGACTCTCAAGAGTCTCCACCAGCACCATAATTCAAAAGCATCAATTCTTTGGCGATCAGCCTTCTTTATGGTCCAGCTCTCACTTCCATACATCATACAGGTTCCATGCAGGTTCCACTGTACATCATAAAAAATGGCAGAGAGAGTATAAGTTTTGCATTTCCGTTTTCAAGCTTTGGTTTAAATGCCCAGAAGGTTCTTGGAGAAACCTATGATTTTGATTTTGATACTCTTTCAAGACCCTAGCTGCGATGGCTATGCTCTGCCTTCATGATTAGAGGCAGGAATGCTTCTGAGTACCAGTTGCTGGAAGCTGAGACCTCCGGGTATAGGGTGGTATATACGTAAATTCAATAAATGAATGAATGTATCAACCACAGGGAGGGTGTTCTTGTGCTCGGGTCCTGCTGAAGGGTTTCTCACAGTGGGTAGCCACTGTGAGAAAAGAATGTTGGGCTAGACAGTCCATAGATTCATAGAATCATAGAGTTGGAAGGGACCCTGGTGATCATCTAGTCCAACCCAAATATGCAGCCGTGCCCTATGGGAATCGAACCTGCAACCTTGGCGTTATCAGCACCATGTTCCAGCCAACTGAGCTATTGAGGCTGAGGCTCTGCTTCTGTTTTTATCTTCCTACACTTTAGCCACTGATATGTTCTCTGGATGCCTGCATAAGCCTTCAATTATCAGAGTTTTTTTATTCTGTGTGCTAAGACAACATTTGAGCTGGCTTCTGATCTCATGCTATCAACAAACAGTAGTACCTCGGGTTAGGTACTTAATTCGTTCCGGAGGTCTGTTCTTAACCTGAAACCGTTCTTAACCTGAAGCACCGCTTTAGCTAATGGGGCCTCCTGCTGCTGCCGCACCATGACCGTGCAATTTCTGTTCTCATCCTGAACCAAAGTTCTTAACCCGAGGTACTATTTCTGGGTTAGCAGAGTCTGTAACCTGAAGCGTATGTAACCCGAGGTACCACTGTATTGCGGATTCTGAATAGTAGTTTAGTTTCTCAAAGAACAACCCTTATATTGACAGGTCTGCTTCTTTTTCTAAGCCATTTTGTAGTCATTTAAGAATTTGGGGCACTACTGTGGCTAAGGAGATTGGAGAATTGTAAAAGGAAAAGGAAGCAGAAATCGGTTGCATTTCTTGTGTTCTTGTGTGGTCAGCAACAGACATCAGTTAAACAAATATTCATTCACATCATTGTTGTGGTGGTTTTAAATCCACAGATGACATGTAATTTGTGGCATTTTGCATTGTTTCATTGTTTCTTTTACATTGAAATGAAAGTAGATTATGTAAAAAGTTACTTAAGTCGTGCAACGTGTTACAGTAAATAGCAGAGAGTGAGATTAATATGGTAGTATTTGGTGGAAACTGGATTGCAGTGGAATAGAAACAGTGTTGATTGTAACAAATACAAGCTGGGATGGAAACTTTTGCTTATGTTTCTTGGTCATGCTAATGTATGATGTGACCCCAGGACTGGCATTTAGAGATATAGAAGGAACTATGCAACTCACTAGACCATCTTCAGAATTTGAGCCTATATAGTACATTTGCATTAAAAAACTTACCGTAAAAACTCTCTTCTAAGCATAACTACGAACTCAGCCGTTTTGAGCCATAAATAATCTATTTGCTTTGAAAATGCTCAAAAGCTAACTGAGCTTGTGGTAATGAAAGAAAAATAACCCAGATTTGGGCTATAAAGCAGCAGTAGATCGAATATGCTTCAGTTTAGAGGAGATAATTTGAACAGACGCCAGAGATTTTAACTCATTGGTTTCAGAAATTGGTAAGCAAATATACTAAAAGAAAAGAGTGCTCTGTCTGTGTTAAAACTAAAATTGATCGAATTTAACAACACTCCCAGGTCCCCAACCTCCATAAAGATGGTCCCTTGCCTTGGCCCTGACCCAGACTCCTATTTCGTCCCACTCCTCTGCCCCTTAATGAAAAAAATTACTCCAGGGACCCAAGATACTCTGGTTGGGATTAAACATCTGGTGGCCAAAAATGAAGAATGATGAAGTCACTACAGGGATGTTTTAATTGAAGTTGTGGTGGGAAGATAGTGTGATGTATCAGAACAGGGATGTTTTAATAAAATTGGTGGGGAAAGGATAGTGCACCATGGGCTTGCCATTTTCTGCAGCAGGCCCATATGCAGTGCTATTTATCTAGAAAATGAGGTGCCGGAACTCACCATGAACTTCTCTCTTGTTCTCTTATAATGGCAATGGTGCCCACCTGAGAGGTGCCGGAGCTGAGCTCCATTGAGCTCCGGCTGAAAAAAATCCCTGCCCATATGAAGCATAAAGTCCACCCAGCCTGAGAACTGTTCCGAAGCATGAAATTCAAGAATGCTCCGTGAAAGTAAATCCTGCTCACACAAAATCACTGTGAATTTCCCCCCTCTTTTAATGGCATGCAAAATGGAGAAGGGAACCAGCATGCTCCCTCTTTATTCCATTTGCTTTCCACCCGTGTTGTAGTCAGACAATAATAATAATAATAATAATAATAATAATAATAATTTATTATTTATACCCTGCCCATCTGGCTGGGCTTCCCCAGCCACTCTGGGCGGCTTCAAACCAAATATTAAAATACAGTAATACATCAAACATTAAAAGCTTCCCTAAACAGGGCTGCCTTCAGATGTCTTCTAAAAGTTTGGTAGTTGTTGTTCTCTTTGACTTCTGGTGGGAGGGCGTTCCACAGGGCGGGCTCCACTACCGAGAAGGTCCTCTGCCTGGTTCCCTGTAACTTGACTTCTCGCAGCGAGGGAACCGCCAGAAGGCCCTCGGCACTGGACCTCAGTGTCTGGGCTGAACGATGGGGGTGGAGATGCTCCTTCAGATATACTGGACCGAGGCCGTTTAGGGCTTTAAAGGTCAGCACCAACACTTTGAATTGTGCTCGGAAACGTACTGGGAGCCAATGTAGGTCTTTCAAGACCGGTGTTATGTGGTCTTGCCAGCCACTCCCAGTCACCAGTCTAGCTGCCGCGTTCTGGATTAGTTGTAGTTTCCGGGTCACCTTCAAAGGTAGCCCCACAATGAATTAACTGTGAGCTTCCCATTTTAACCCAGTCCTCTTTTCTTGCCCATTCCCCTTGACCTAAGCCGGGGGGACGGGGAACCTATGGCCCTTCAGATGTCGTTGGACTCCAACTCCCATCAGCCCCAGCCAGGGAATGGGAGGAGAAAGGTGATTCAATCTGCATTTAAAGGGTAAACCTACCAAAATCACACTTTTTGAAACAATACATGAACATAAACACAGCACCCATCCAATCTTTCAAAATTCACCTCCCACACACATTTTCCCTAGGCCACACCCTCCCTGACCTTGCTTTGTAGCCTCCTTGAGCATTTGAAATGTGTCCTTGAACTCTGGTTAATGCTTCTTGCTTGTCCACAAGGAGGATAGAGAGGTGCATGAATGCGTAGAAACTCACTTACTGTAGAGAGGTGTTATGTACTGAGTTGAATAGGATCCAAAAGGCAGCAGTCTGATTGGTCCTAGAACAATAGGATTCAGAATGCAGCAGTCTGATTGGTCCTAGAACAATAGGGTCCAGAATGCAGCAGTCTGATTGGTCCTAGAACAATGCAGCAGTATGATTGGTCCGCAGGAGCCACCCAATCCAGTTCCAGGTGGAAGTGAATCCACAACCTGATTGGCCTACAGGAGAATCCCAGAATTAGCCAATCACATGCGGCCTATTGTGTAAATAATGTATATAAAGCAGATATTTTGGGGGAACTGTCATTCCTCACTATTATGAGCTGAATAAAGAACATGAAATCCACACTCGACTCCGAGTATATTTCAAGAGGGCAAAAATTTGCATTGATTTCTCCACCCAGTTCTGCCCTGCCCACCAGTGACATGTGACCTCCCCAAAACCTGCCCATAGGGGAGTACCTGAAAAAGATTCCTCTCCCCACTCCATTAGATGCCAGGAGCCTTTGCACATGGAGAAGAGGGTTATGTCTAAAAACACTTGAGAATAATCGCACAGAAGATCTTGAATGCTCTTCCCAAAGAACAACAGATCCAGAAATATTCCCCTGGGTTGATTATGTAATATATTCTTCAAAGGGGGCTATTTAGGAAAGAGAGAGTTCTTTTAAACAGATTAAAGACAATTTACAATCATTCTACAATCCTTGGGCAGATTTCCTGTATTCCCAGAGTTAAGCATTTGATTGGCACCCTAATGGAACTCCTGTGTAGGCTTTTCTTTTATGCACCAAGATGTCTGATGCTCCGGCAGTTTGTATTTCCAACTTTCAACGGCTGCACAGCAGGGGAAAGTACAGTAGGTGTGCTGCTTGCTCCATAATTGCAGCAGTGTGCTAGGCTTGGTGCCTGCTTTTCACATGTTCCTCTCACTTCTGGAACCCTACCCCTTGCCTTAGGTGTGCATGCACATTCACAACCCCCTCCTCCTCCTCTTGAGCCCAATCCAGTTATTTTTCTTCCTCTGCATGCCCTCCTGCTATTGAGACCTGGAGATGGGGGTTAATTGGGAGAAAGGAGGAGGACAGACCCCTCCCAGGGAGTCTATGCAGCAATTTTTGGAGATGGAGGTTAATTGGGAGGGGGAAAGGACAGGAGGTTAAATTATTGACTACGCAGTAATTTACGGCTGGCTCTCATCAGGCTGAAGTAAGCTGCATGCACAAGCATCTTCATAATTATTTTTTCTTTTAAAGGGATCTTGTCTACCTTTAGATTTAAGACCTCTACCTGCCACCTGGAGTGGGGAAGGCAAACCTGGAGACTTCAGGCCAGCCCTGGGGGTCTGGCAACCCTAACTTTGTGCTTTTCAGGACAGGAGTCTCTTGCCATTTCATGAGACTCCCCACTCCCACCAATTTGTAGCAATTCACTACAGTCATAAAATAGCTATAAATCAAGGAACTGATAATACAGAATGCAAAAGTCCACCCTATAAAAGCAAAAGATTAGCAGACAGTTGTATGCTGAGAGGAAGATCCAGCTATTTGCAACAGGAGATCAAGGAGCCAAACAACGAAAACTGCCCCCACTTCTCTGGAGTCAAAAGGCCTTGAGAAATTCACTTGATTAAGTGCATTATTTAATATTGTACCTGGTTTTATTGCGATGGCTTCTATGTTATTATACTGAAGGTACTGCCAGCATTTCGACTTTAGTTTCCAATTTTCTAGGGTTTATAACCACCACTAAAAATAACATTTCATGTTGGAACATAGCCTGTAAAGGTTTTTCTTCTTTTTCAATGTGGCTTTTATTTCTAATGCTTTTTATTATCTGTCTGTTTGGCTGGCTTTGTGTTGATTGAGTGTAGAAACCAGAAAGCCAGAAACCTCTCTCTTCCACCAACCCTCTTTCTTCCCCCCCTTATCTCTAGGCACAAACCCATCGTAATTTTCAGAAGCAGAATTTGGCAAAACATCAGTTAGATCTCATGTTGACCTAACCTCGTTTCTTGATTCTTTTTTTCTTTTTTTTAATGAGTCATCAACAATGAACTCCAAAAGTTCACATAAATCTGCTTTACAGTAATAAAATGTTAGGGTATAATCCCACAAAAATGGCATTAGATTATACCTTGTTTGTACTGGCAAGTGAATGGATGCAGTCTCCAAAATTCATATCTTACCTGCAAAAAACAGCAGGAACAGCATACTGTCCCATAAACAAGGGTGTGTGTGTGTGTGTGTGTGTGATGGATCTTTGGGCTTGCCATGCAAGTGTAGGCTTTGGGGGCAGAGTACAGTTTGCTGAGAACAAATCTAAGATTTCACATTTGCAAAGTGGTTGGAAGCTTTATAACTGCAGACGCTTCCTTCTGAAAACTATGCAACTACCCAAAGGTTTTGGAATCCCATGGTAATATTTTCCCTGCCATCATTAAGATTTTTCAGCAGAAAGGTCATTGCAACTGCCAATAGAATGAGCAGCAAATGCCTTTTTTAAAAAAGCCCGTTGGGTCATCTGTAAAATATGGTACCCTTAATGTAGAGCATATGATGTTTGTAGATTCACAGAGCTGCTATTATTGTTAAGATTCGGTGCAATTTTTCTTAAATGGAAAGACTTGTTCGTACTTATGCATTATGTATGTCAAAATGACTCGTACTCTGGAATGACTGAGCTCCTGTGACCTCAATTTGGCTGGCAGGCGCCATTTTGTTTTTCCGTACATGGTCCAAGATGTTCTATCTGTCTGGGGCCGGGGCAGAGAAATTGTTTATTTTATTTAAAACCCCTTCTAAATCACATAGTGTTTTTAAAATCTCCATGCAGTTACACTATGTACAGTAGAAAAACAATATCCATGAAAACAAAGTAAAATAAATAAATATCAAAAACCAATTTTTAAAATAAAAGATTTCTACACACAAATGAAACAGATTCAGTGGATCCATACACTTAAACTAGAGTCCAATGTTATGGGTCAGGGAAAATCCAGTAAAAAAAAAGGTAAGTCTTTACAACCAGGCAGAGGGCCTTCTCGGTAGTGGTGCCCGCCTTGTGGAACACCTTCTCATCAGATGTCAAGGAAATAAACAACTACCTAACTTTTAGAAAACATCTGAAGGCAGCCCTGTTCAGGGAAGTTATTAATGTTTGATGTCTTATCGTGTTTTTAATGTTATATTGGGAGCCGCCCAGGGGCAACAGCAGAAAATGCCCATGTTATTCTATAGGGTGTGATGCCATGATTTCCCTAGATTGTGTTTTCCAAGCAGGCTCTAACTTCCCTGGGGTGGAATCTGTCCCCATTGTTTTGCTACACAAATAGCCTTCCACGTTCTTGGAGACAAGGTGGGATGGAGTTTAGTACAGTAGGAGCAACAAGCTCCTGGGGTGCTTCATCAGCTGAGTCTGAACTGCATTCTGCACCTGGCTCCTCTTGCTCACTAAAGCCTGTTGCCTCTTCCGCAACCAACCATTCCCCCTGACCTGTCCCCAGTGTCCCACCACCACAGTTTGGGCTCTGAGCCTTCCTCCTTTGAGGCTTCCTTGAGGCCGCTGCCTCCCACCACAACTCTTCATCCAGCCAATCCCTGGCATCTCCTTTGTAGCACTGTGAGGGAAATGGGGTCTCTGAGTAACCTTAACAAATTCCCAGTCCCCAGGATTATTTGAGGGAAGCTGTGACTGATTAAAGTGGCAAGACACTGCTTTAAAGGGATAGCGCAGATGGTACCTTAGCGTTCAGTACATGATGTGCCTTTGCACGAGTCTGTACTGGAGGCAAAACAGCAAGTCTCAACTCAGAGATTTAACAGGAGTTAAAGGGCAGGGGGTGGTGGTGTCCAAAACAGGAATAATGCCAATAGTAGCAACACAGAAACTAATTTAAAAAAACACCATTAAAAGTTGTGTCCGAAATCCACTGCAAAAGGCAAAGTTTAGGGACAAAATGGGGAATTTATAGGGGTTGTCCCTGGCAGAGATGGGGGAATATGTCAATTTTGTTTTTCCATTTTTCCAACCTTCAGTTCTCCCCATTTTCACACCTATTTGACATTCTTTTGAAAGTCCTCTTGAAAATTATTCAGTGAATTTCTTCTAATATATACATTTTTGCACACAATTAGGCCTGATTAAAAAAACAAACTCCCCCCTATTAAGCTTCTCTAATATTTTTGAGGTTATTTTCACTAGTACACTACATGTCACATGCCTGGAGAACTGCATTGCAAAATTCAGAGAAATGTGAATTCTGAAGGATCATAGAACCACAGAACTGTAGAGTTGGAAGGGACCCTGAGGATCATCTAGTCCAACCCCCTGCAATGCAGGAATAGGCAGCTGTCCCACACTAGAATCGAACCTGCAACCTTGGTGTTATCAGCACCATGCTCTAACCAACTGACCCTGATCCATGGATGGCTGTGTTTTGCGTATTGTTTCGGAATTTGCAAACTGGGGACATTCACCTTTAACTGTGAACTGAATCAAATTCCTCCCCTGCCCCCAGCTAAGCAGAAGCCGGGTGAGCACTGAGAATCTTCTTTCTTGTAACTTGAAGCCATTGGTTCGAGTCCTACCCTCCAGAGCAGGAGAAAACAAGTCTATCACCCACCCACCTACCCCCGCAAAAAAAAAAAAGAGAGTATGAATTTGCATAACATTTCTCCATGCTGATTTATATGTATAGATGCAAATTTAGATATAATTGCTATAATTTACATAGAAATGCAGCGCAGCTCAGCAAATCGGGGAAGGCCTAAAGACTAGTGTGCCTGTGGTCCAGCGGTCTCTCAATGTGGCCGTCCATCTTCCAGGTCCCCCTCTTCCTTATGGTTCTTTATTCTTTTTTAAAAATATTTTTTATTGCTCAGTTTCCACCTAACAAATTATCAAACCATATAATCACCTACAAAGTTTCCCCCCTTCCCCCCCACCAAGGACTTCCCTCAGCTCCTCTCCCTGCTTTCGCTGCACATATTTTCTCTACATATTATGAAATTGTATACAGTGGAACCTCTAGATGTGAACAGGATCCATTCTGGAGCCCCGTTCGCATCTAGAAGCAAAAGTAACCCGTGTCTGCGCGTCTGTGCGGGTCACATTTCAGCGTTTCTGCGTGTGCGCGTGACATCATTTTGAGCATCTGCACATGCGATGAAACCCGGAACTAATGCGCTCCGTTACTTTCGGGTTGTTGCGGAGCGCAACTCGAACGCGCTCATCCCAAAGCACGTTCAACCCGAGGTATGGCTGTATATCCTTACATATCTGTCCATCCTGTTAACAACAATAAATTTGTGTATGTTTATTCAAAACCTGCCAAGGAGTCCAGTTCATTTTGTTGTCTTTTTAAGTAATTTGAGAAAAGTTCCCATTCTTCCTTGAAGTCACAGTTGTCCTTGTCTCACAGTTTATATGTCAGTTTAGCCAGTTCTGCATAGTTCATCAATTTCTCTTGCCACTGTTCTTTTGTCGGGGTTTCCTCATTCTTCCATCCTTGTGCTATCAAGACTCTTGCCACTGTTGTAGCATACATAAATAAGTTCTTTGTTTTCCTTGGCAGGTCTTGTCCATGGTTCTTTATTCTTAAACCAGGCTTTGATTGGACAGTCCTTCAGAAGGAGGACTCCTTCAAATAGAGGATTCTACCCCCAGGCACTGCCGTTGTTCTGCCATTACATTCTGACTAAACAGCAAGAAGAACCTTCTGATGTTAAGAGCTGTTTGACAGTGGAACAGTCTCCCTCAGGAAGTTGTGGACTCTCCTTCCTTGGAGGTGTTTAAGCAGAATTTGGATGGCCATCTGTCATGGATGCTTAGCCGAGATTCCTGCATTGCAGGGGGTTGGACTAGATGACCCCGGGGTCTCTTCTAGCTCTACAATTCTATGATTCTCTGACCCCCCCCCCGGTTTTTTTTGCCATGCTCAAATGGCCACCATGTCACTAAGCCATAAGGTAAGAGAAAGGGACAGTCAGAATGGAACAGATCCCAGACAGAATGCAGTTCAGAACACTCTCCTATGTGATATTGGGAATCAGAATTCTCACAGCAATGACCCTATGACCCATTTCTAGGAGAAGAAAACAGAACTCACCCATTGGGTGCTGCAAGCCAAGTGGCAGGCAACAAACCACAGCAACCAGGACTCACATTTCTTTTCATCATTGCTGTTTTTATATGAAAAAGCTGGCATACTTTTACACTCGCAAGCCTACACAATAATAATAATAAAAAGGTGTGAACAACTGAAATGTTAATTTCTTGCTTTAATTACAAGACTAAATATGTCATTAAAATATACAGTCATCCGAGTAGCTGGTAATTGCCAATCAAGTGTATAACATGTAATAAAGAGATTAAATTAAGCAAAGAAGAATTTTTTAGTCTGGATCTCGAGAAGGAATTCCTAAGGGCAAGATTTATATACAGCACAGCCTTCCTGGCAACAAGAAATAAAACTGGCAATATGCCAGAGGCTGTGGTTAATTTGCATCTTAATGCAAATAGAGAACTTTCATTAAGGCATGATGGGGAGGCCTGCTTCCCCCTCCCTTTTTTTAATTTTAGAAAGCTGTTAAAAAGTTTAGATGAATGTCTTGCAAAACACACATGGAGAAGGAATGACTCATGGGCTTCAAAATAATAATTAAAAGGGCAAAGCAGTGATTCCCTGAAACCAGATTCTCATTGACCAGCTCTACCTACAGGGTAACGGCATCAATTAGGAGATTTTGGCTAGGATGTTCTATGGTAAAGGTTAAAAGGTAAAGGACCCCTGGATGGTTAAGTATAGTCAAAGGCGACTATGGGGTTGCAGCGCTCATCTCGCTTTCAGGCCGAAGGAATCGGCGTTTGTCCACAGACAGCTTTCTGGGTCATGTGGCCAGCAGGACTAAACTGCTTCTGGCGCAACGGGACACCATGACAGAAGCCAGAGCACACGGAAATGTCATTTACTTTCCCGCCACAGCGGTATCTATTTATCTGCTTGCACTGGTAGTGAATCCCTGCGATGGGGTGTGCTCCCGTTGCTTGGTCCCTGCTCCTGCCAACCTAGCTGTTTGAAAGCATGTCAAAGTGCAAGTAGATAAATAAGTACCGCTCTGGCGGGAAGGTAAACGGTGTTTCCATGTGCTGCTCTGGTTCGCCAGAAGCAGCTTAGTCATGCTGGCCATATGACCCGGAATCTGTCTGCGGACAAGTGCCAGTTCCCTCGGCCAGTAAAGCGAGATGAGTGCTGCAACCCCAGAATTGTCCGCGACTGGACTTAACGGTCAAGGGTCCCTTTACCTTTACTGGTGTGCTTTCAAACTGCTATGCTGGCAGGAGCTGGGACAGAGCAATGGAAGCTCACTCCATCACAAGGATTTGAACCACCGACCTTCTGACTGGCAAGCCCAAGAGGCTCAGTGGTTTAGACCACAACACCACCCGCTTCCTATGAGCACAGCTCAGTGGCAGTGGAGCCTGAGAGCCACACCCCAACATCTCTTATTAAAGGATCTTTGGAACTGGGTCTGGGACAAGACAGTTGTCGTTCCAGCAAGGTTGGCGCTAGGTGAGAGGGGCCCTGCTGGCATCTTTGTCATAGTTTGAAATGTCTTCTGTGGCTTGGAGTGCATTTTACCAGCTTTATCTGGTTCACTAGCTATGGCTCTTCTGGGACAGGGGTAGACTGACCCCCGTTATCCCTCAGTTGGTAGCCTTAAGTCTGGATTACTGCAGTGCACTCTACCTGGGGCCACCCTTGGGTTTGGTTTAGATGCTCCAGCTGGTGCAGAATGTGGCAGCTGGGCTGTTGATGGGGGCACACGGCCGATAACATGAGACACCACTGCACTATTGAGTCATGGTTTAAGTTCCTTATATTTACAAAGCCCCAACAACCTGGGTCCAGGTTATTTTAGGGACAGTTTAAACCCTTGTATCCCAGCTCAATAGCCAAGATCAACTGCAGGAATTATGAACACTGACTGACATGCTCTGGGATTTCGGGCATGGCAACTTTCCCAGCTCTGCCAGGAGATACCCAACAGCAAGCCACCCACCTTAATCCCCCTGTGCTGGGCCCGGGGGTAACCCGTGAAATGCGGTCCAGGAACAGCCCAAAATCCAAAGGTTCCACTAGGAGTCAGTCTGACAGGGCCAAGGCAGGACACGAGGCAGGAAACCTGGCAAGGACAGGGACAAGATCTCAGGCAGGAACTAGCCTACAGCAATGTTGCTTCCGCAACCTGGGGCAGGGTCCGACAGCCTTTTATCTTTGTCAGGGTAGCGGCTGGTCCTAATCCCCCAGTGACTCACCTCCCTGCTTCGCCCGAAGGCGAGCACTCCTCCTGCGAGCACTCAGGTCTCTCCTTCTCTCAGACCTTAGTCTCTGCAGCTCGGGAGACGTCGGTGGGTTACTAGACCCAGGGGCTGCCTCAGCTTCCCCTGACCAAGCCGGTAGTGGAGCAGCTGTAAGTGATGGCCCGGCTGAAGGCAACGAGGCAATCCTCACATCTGGAGCCAGGGCAGGCTCAGGCCCCTGACTTGGCCCAGCTGGTGTTTGTTGCAGGGGAACCTGTGCAGACTGGGACTCTTCAGGATCAGGACCCAGACTTGGTTCAGATGATGCCTGAGGCAAAGGATCCGGTGCAGACTGAGTCTCCTCTGGTTCCGAGTCCAAGCCCGAGTCCCGGGCCATCACACCCCAAACCCTCCATTTTGTAGTTAAAAAGCATCTTTCTAACTGCCCAGATCGAGCAACCTGAACCTGTGGGAAATGAGCAGCTTTGATGGTCCGGTATGCCTCCCATAAGATGATGTGGTGGCCACCAACTTGGATGGCTCAAAAGAAGCTTGGGCACATTCATGATGGCTATGTATTTCCTCCACTATGAGAATGTGAAACAGGGGAGAGTGCTCTTGTTCTCAGGTCCTGCTTCCAGATTTCCCAGAGGTATCTGGTTGGCCACAGTGAGAACAGAACTCTGGACTAGATGGGCCTTTGACTCGATCCAGCAGACAGACCCTTCTTATGTATTTATTACAGGTGAACAGACATGCATGCACAAAGGTATCTGGAATACTGTGGACCAGATAGCATCCTTGCTCCAAAGGTCAGGGAGGTGACCTGAGCTGTGGTCTGCTGTGTGGCTCCCCCAGAGGAGAGAACTATTCATATCTACAAGACATGATGGCTATGGTCTGCTTCCACAGTTGGGGGTTAGTACAGTGGTACCTCTGGTTGTGAACGGGATCCGTTCCGGAGTCCCATTCGCAACCTGAAAGGAACGCAACTTGCCTCTGTGCACACGTGGGTTGCGATTCGCCGCTTCTGCGCATGCGTGTGACGTCATTTTGTGCATCTGCGCATGCGTGAGTGGCAAAACCTGGAAGTAACCCTTTCCGGTACTTCCGGGTCG